CAGCAAATGATTTTTTGAAAAAGTACATGATTTCTTTTAAAATGGTATTCTCTCTTCTCCTTAGAGAGCAGAGGAGCCATAGATTCAATATATTAGGTATCTATAATAAAATAAAAATAAAAATGCATAGTCAAAAAGAAACATTTTAATAAAAATGTTTTTTTGACCAACTTTGTGTATTCTAATAATGTTTATGTGTAAATATTAAATTAAATACCTTGAAAAGTTGGTATATGAACATTTTTTTAAATAAACTTCAACTTTCTGTCAGTTTAGTTTTTTTAAGTACGAAAATAATGACTTTTTATCAGATTTTCAATGTCAATTTTCTAAAAATGTGATACCTCCCAGATTTTTCTAAATATGAAAATGAAGTGTCCAGATGCCCCACTTACTATATTTATTAACATTTTTGGGGTACTCGGATAGTAAACTTAAACCTTAAATTTCTGACCTGTGCAGAGCTATAGAGAAAAAATCGTTTTTAACGATTAAATCTTTTTTTTTAAATTTGAGGAAATTAAAAAAAAAAATTAAATTAAATATAAAAGTCTTAATTATGCAAACTCTTTTGTTAATTATTCTTAAAACAAAAATTCAAATACGCAAAACTTTAATCGTGCAAACTTTAAAAAATACTCAACTAAAATAATGTAAGTATATTTAATAATTTGAATCGTATCTGTTTATAATAAACATTCGTAAAAGTTTGTTTATTAAAAATTAAGTTCCTTAACTTATAAACAAACTCAAAAGTATTTTCATTCTACGTATAATTACAAAACTCTCGTTTGTAAGCAATTTAACTTAATAAAATAAAAAAAGAATAAATATGAGGTAATCTTTGTTAAGAACAAATTTAAATTATTTATTGAACTATATTTTTATTTTTATTTATATATCAACTTAATTAAAATATAGTAACGTGTAAAATATTTTAACATGACTTGTGTTATTTATAAACCGTTAGGCATTGTTTTTGGATAATATTTTTTTTTGATGAAGATCACATATCTTACATTTGATTTTAATAAGTCTTCTCTTTTTCTGCGATCATCGCATTGGCAAAGCATTGGCAAAGTCCCAAGATTTAAAAGTTTTTAAAGTAAATCTTTTGTCCTTCAAAATACAATCAATATTTGAACTTTACACAATTTAGAGATAATAGAAATATAAAAGGTTTTTATATACTAGTTTGTTTTGTTTTATAAAGAAAAATACATATTCATTAATAAAAATTGGAGACTGTCATTAAACTAAACTAAACTAAGACTGTCATTAAACTAAAACGTGCCTTAGTATTTATTTAACGGAACCTGTAATGTGCGCGTGCATAATGAAACCTTCGTTATATAAATATATTCAACGTAATATTAGTGTCATCAGCGGATGTTGTAGTCTACTCATGATTTCTTTACCTTATAATATAGCTTGATTTATGAAAAAAAAAACTTATTGAATCGCACGCAGAAGAAATTTAACAAATTGTCTTCATTCAAATATTGCGAGTAACAGGTAATTTTTTTTTTCTTCGCCGACCTCTCCCTCGCATAACTTAAAGGTAAAGGTATCTATATACCTTAAACTAATAAGAAAAGCAAAGACATTTTTTTTAATATCTCGAAAAAAAATATTAAGACATTTTTTTAGATATTAAAAAAAATGTCAATTCTTAATTACAAATTTTTTTGCAAATGTTTTTTATTATAAATTCAGTAAAAAATTCTTAAAAAATCTATATTACAAAAAACATTTATATTCTGTATTAATAAATATGGAATATAGATTTTTTAAAAGTTTTTTACTGAAAACTTTAAAAAATTACTACTTTTTATTAAAAGCATTGCAAAAAATTTGTAGTTAAGGATTGAAAAACAATTTTTCATGTTGCTAAATATTTGGATAAAAAGTTTAGCGTCAAATTAATTGCTATAAAAAGGAAAGATATATCGCGATGAAAAGTTACAACAATTATTTTTAAAGTAAATTCTTTTTTTTAATAAATATCTTTACATATCGTTATTTAAAAGTTAATGCGGTTTTTTAAAAAATTATTTACTTCTTTTATGTTACCCCTAATTTAAAAGTTAAAAAATGATAAAAAGTGGCTTAACCAAAACTCTACGCGTACGTAAAAATCGCTCTAGGCGTAACGCTTTAAAACAAGGCCTGATATAACCATATTTATTATGCATATATATATATATATATATATATATATATATATATATATATATATATATATATATATATATATATATATATATATATATATACTTTGAAATTAGAGTCAAGTTATCCCATTTCTCCTCGCGCAATTAAAATGTCCATACACACTTATCTAGTTTGCTTACTATAGATTTGTTGTTATAAAATTAAAAGTTGTACACTACAAGTGTACAACTAGTTGTTGTTTGTAAAATATCTTAATAATATCACTAGCAACAAAACCGCAAAATGTAGCCATCAAATTGCTATAAATATGTCGTTTTTTAACAATTAAATAGCATCGTTTTGTAGCTGTTTTAGTATCGCAAGGTAAACCACTTTAATATGTGGCATTCTAATAGCTATAGTTTTCTCGCCATGTTTCAGCTACAAACAAAGCTAGGATATACAGCTATCAATACATTGTAACAATGTCTTTAGCTAAAACACTATGAAATGCAGCTATCGACTAGCTACAGATTTGTTGTCATGTTATAGCTAGTAACATACCTACAATCTGAAGCTATCAATGTATCACAATATTATTGCTAGCTAAAAGCTGCAGTATATAGTTATCCATTCGCAACAGATTTGTCCTTTTGTTGTAGCTAGCTACTACGTTACGATATGTAGCTAGCAATATATCGTAGTACAAAGTTGTAATATTCAGATAACAACATTTTGTAATAAACTCGCAATGTTATAAGTTCAATTATTTTTATAAATATAATAGATCCAATACTAAAAGTCGAATTTTTATGACGTTGAAGACAAAATGTAGCAATAATGAGAAAAAGAAAATTGCCTAAAAGTCGCTATAAAGTTAGCTACTAGCCTGCTAGTCACTTGCTCATTTTCAACCGAGTATTCACAAATCCACTTTTTTAATGATTTTTTTGTGATTGCACTATTTTGTTAACCTTCAACATAAACTAATAACTTATATATAGTTTATTTGATAAGAAAAATATTCTAATAATAATTACTGCATGGTGCCTCATCTTAAATGTTCGATTAAACCTGAACTTACTCCTCATTTTCAACAATTGATAGTGCATTCATTTGGCCTAATGACTGTTTCCACAACTACGTTATCCATCGTTTGAAGATAAAAATTTAGTTTTTTAATTATATGCAGTTTTTTCATTAGGCTTCGTTTGCTAAAAATTTAAATTGAAAAGAGTTAAAACATGCAAATAATACAGATGATAAAATAATAACTAAAAATTGTATGTGTAAAAGTTAAACATAAAGTTTAAAAAACTAAAGAGTTTAACTGCAAATCGCAATTATGCCAGTTGTTAAAACATCTACTCAAACATTGGCAGAGTACAATTGTTTGATGACAGTTAGTCATAATTTGATTTTTAAAAAAAGTTCTTTCAGCTTATTAAAAACAAAAGATTTTTGAAGTTAATACGCTTCCAGCAAGTCTGCGACCAAAATTATGTTGGGAATTGCTTGAAAACAAAGAGAAGTGTTAATGAGCATGGAAGTAGTTGACAAAAGATTTAAAAAGTTACAGTTGCATAAAACAGGAAAACATAAAGATTAGAGTCAGCTTGAAAGAATTGTAGAGAAAAAAAGTTTTAGGGTACGAATATGAAGATATAGCCATTGGATGCATTTGTTGAATCACAAGTCAAGCACAAACAAGATTGATTGATGGAAATGGAGATAATTGCTCGTTTAAGCAGTGACTTTGGTATAATTTGTAGACCAGGTTCTACTACATACATAATGTATTTTTTTTACCTTGTTTAGTAAAAAAAAACGTCATTAGAAGAACTAGGCCAAATATGACGATACAGGATCAAATAAAAGATATGCAGAGGTAAAGAATGGAATCAAAACTAGGAAAAAAGCAAGCACAATAAAAAGAAACAACATTATTTAATGAGCTTTGCAAAAGTTTCCATAAGAGGTAATTAGTAAATGATAGTCTAAGAAGACGCAAAGTAAACAACTTAGTGAAAGAGTTGCATTTATATAAAAATTTAAAAAAAAACATAGACTCTCGGTATTTAAAAACATGATCTAGAGCCCTAACTTTTTTGTTGAGTTCATCAAGAAAATTTAATTTAATTTTTAATGCAATCAAGAGATGATCAGTTGTTTAATGGTGTATCTCATTCAGTATAATAAAACATTAAATTGAGAGCTAATTTATTTTGATTCAAAATGTTTTTAAAAAACAGAGAGTTAATTATTAAATAATCATATTATTTAATATTTGACTCTCTGTTTAAATAAAACAGCTACTTAATTAATGCAAACTTTTAAACATTTCAATTCAAGAATTTATGTTCAAGATTAAATTTAAACATTTCTATTCAATATTTATTTTCAAATATGTTTAGAAAAAATAACATAAGTTTTAAATATTTTATCTAAAACACATGAATAAAACGAATCTTATTAACTAAATATATAAATAAACTAAACATAAAACTAAATATACATTACCTGTGTTGATAGTAACGCATTATAACTTTTGTTGCACGAAGTATGATATTTTAATGCAATTTATAAAGTTCTAATATAAGTTAGGTAACATGCAACTTTACCAAAATGTTGCATTTTTGATAATCAATTGCATAAAAAAAAATATTTTATGATGGAATTCTATCAACATTATCCTTATTTTAAGTATATGCGGTTAGCACTATATAAGTAAAATACAAAAATTGCAATATAAATTTACTTAAAAAAGTTTATCTTAATATACAAAATTACTAAATGGATTAATTTATTTTAAAACAGGTTTTTTATTTTTGATTTGTTTTTTCTAGTTATACTTTTGTCAGTTTCGCATCCTCCTAGTAGTAAGTTGATTAAAGGCTAATTTTAGTTCTGTTTGTCTATGTCTGTATACGAATCAATTTGTATTACTTAAATTACTAAAACATTTATTTTGTTTTAGGCAAAACATTAGTAATCTCTGCTGCTATAATAGTTCCTATTTTAGTTGTTCTTGTTGCAGTTATTATTGTTATTGCTTTATTAAGATGTCGTAGAAAAAGCAATCAACAATCAACGATAAATCTAAACCATTTCACAATTGAGTAAGTATGATAAATATTACTATTATTTCTTTTTACATATCTATATCTATATCTTTATGTATATATTTATATATACATATATATATATATATATATATACATATATATATATATATATATATATATATATGTATATATATATGTATATATATATATATATATATATATATATATATATATATATATATATATATATATATATGTATATATATATATATATAAATATATATATATATAAATATATACATACATTTTTGTATATATATATATATAATGTTATATATATATATATATATATATATATATATATATATATATATATATATATATATATATATATATATATATACATATATATATATATATATATATATATATATATATATATATATATATATATATATATATATATATATATATATATATATATATATATATATATATATATATGTATATACACAGATCTGTAATACCAAAACTAAATATATATTAGATAATTATTTTAGTTGGAAAGAGTTTGGAGTAAAATGTAAAACTTAAAACTTTTTGAACACTCATATGTTTATATTTACTTTATAAAACAACAAGTCCAAGTCATAGTTATCTAACTAAGCACAATTAAATACTAGTTTGCAACTAATTCTTTTCAATGAGGTTTACCATATCTTTTTTACTAGAATTATTTGACATAAGTTCTCTGCTTGCTACTTGACCTTGAATGTAAGTATTTCTTCTGGCCTGACCAAAGACATGACAAGCACTTTCAGATGTCATTTTTACACATCTTTCAACAGATTGTGTATGAGAGGGCCACTTTGTTACTTTCATTGGAGTGTTAATAAATTCCTTCTCTGCTTCAGTTGATTGATTACATGTTAAAGGTGGTTCAGTAATATCACTTCAATCTATAAGTTCAGACAAACAAGTTGCTTTCATGATGATGGAAGGAGTCTTTCGAATCGAATCTCCAAATTGAAGTGCATCAATCCCAGCTCCTCTTAATTCAACTATTTTATTAACTGCTTCTTTTCTCTCATCTTTAATTTGACTACAGAGCATACTTAGCAAAACTGATTCAGGGTGAGCATACCATGGTGATCGTTTGAAAGTGGGTAAAACAATGTCAATTACCTCCTGAGTTTGATTTTTTAATAATTGCATCTGTTTAAGTAAGTTTATTGGTCCTTCCACCCAGCATGAATTTACTTTTAAACCAGTTAGGAACATACACACCTACTATGAATTCAACAATCATTCTCAACCTATTTAAAAGGTCACCTGTTAATCTATGTTTAAACACCCAGATTCTGCAAAATCTTAAAGCAGTAGTTAGCCATCTACTATGACAAACATGACCAATTTCTAGTAATGCCAGTCTCTTAGGCAGAACTCCAGTTTTAACAGATGTCACAATTTGGTATGCATAGCTCTAATCGGTGCTTAGATCTTTGATAATGTCAGGACTGAGGTAGATAGGTGGAGAGCCTTCACACACTTTTGAAAATTCTGGGTTAATTTCAAGGTTGGTAGCATAGTTCAACATCTTACCCAAAGGTCCTGACCAATGATTGTTGGCTTTAGTAGGACCATCAAGAAACTTAATAAGAATTCTTAACCCTAGTTCCCAAGTGTGCAGGTCACATACAATCCATACAAGTTTTTTATCAACCCATTGTATTACTCCTCCTGCCTATCCAGTATTTACATTAGTACTATCACACCCTATGGCTTCCAATGTCAAATGTAAACATCTTTCTTTAAGCCATTCAAATAAATGATCGGCAATTATCTCAGCAGGTCTTTTAAAATCAGATTATTCAGGAACAAAATGAAATAGATAATTTCCACCAGGTTCACTGCACACAGTATAATGTTCTTCTTTTATTACACCTGGGAATTTTCTGCCTTCGACATCAAAAAAAATTTTAGTGTCATTTTTTCTACCATCAAAAAAAATACAACTTAAACCATTATTTTTTAGTTCCTTTTGGAATTTTGAGGTCAGTTCTTTTCCAATTTTTTCTTGATCTCGCTTAACTTTGTTATGGTCGATAATTATGCAAATGTTTCCTTCAGTGATAATTTTAGCATCAATAAGGGCAGCAGTTGCTATTTCTGCAGTTTCTCTTAAACTTGTATAATGCCTTAAGCTTGCTAATGCTATATTTTTTATATTCATAGTGTTATACAATTGATTTTTTTTCTTTTACTTTTTTTGAAATATTTTTATTTTATCGTTTGTCTCTTCACAGACTTCATCTGAGTTACTCTCGGAAAAGAAAAAATCATTTTCTTGATTTTTTTATTTGTGAAACCTGATTTTGTATTGTATATTGTTTAATTTTTTTATTTTGTTTCTGAGTTTCAATACGATCAATGCCAGCTATTTGAAGGATAGCTTTCGTTCCAACTTTTTTTTTTTGATGTCTTACAAAGCTCAACTCAAAAAGAGGAATTTTTTGTTCTTTTTTACAAGTACATACAATGTGACTTTTCTGTCACAATTTTCTCCACACTTATTTTCAAAGCAAAAAAGTATTTTACAATTGCATG